CACCGCCCTTTAAGATATGTTTTTTCATCATACCAATCAAAGTTAACTTTGTGTAATTTACAGCTTCTTCTGTACAATATCACAAACGACGGACAGTACAGTTCTAAGTTTAAAAAGTGTATGAATATGTGGCTTCCCGGTGGAGGAATTAACCGAGTGTTCAATGGCCAGCTTGCCGTGTACCTTGATTGGGGCTCGTTGCGTTATACATGTAAGTAATTGGGAGTAAACTTGTTGATTGAACAGTCGATTTTCAGAGTCACTATCGCTGGGGCGAGGCACTCGAATTACAGCATTAATATCCATGCTCGAACATGGCTTTTAAAAAAATAACTCTAAATGCGTACAAACATGTGCAAAAAAACACCAAAGGGGCTGGAGGGGAATACTCAGAATTCTTAACGTTACGCATGCTGAGATACAGGCTCACCCGGCGATTTGCTGACAAGTTCACTAGGGCTATTCAAAAAAGAAATCGGGCATAGTGATTAAAAATAAACGTTTTTGCCCATATTTTATCCTGTCAGGAAAAATATACCCTTTTTTCGTTGCACATATGATAAAATAGCCAGGAAATGTTACAAATATACACGTTGTTCCCTGGAAAGACCCACCACCCCCCACCCAGAAATGATTGGTACATTGGTAATTTCCAGAAAATCATATTTATTTCGAATTATTTTTTACCAGCATACACTGTTAAACACTAAGCGTTTTTGGTGGAATTTCTTTGTTGTTACGACTTTCAACTCAACCTTCGCCGTGTCCGCGTCATAATCTTTACCTTTACCTTGTAGCAACAATGGCTTTTCTGGCGTTGGTGGCAGCAGACATTGGAATACGTCCTACAGCTTATCGAGACTTCGCAATCAGTCAAATAAATTTCATGTTGGGCGATGGAGGGCGTAGTTACGTTGTGGGATTTGGTGAGAATCCCCCACAAAGAGTACATCACAGAGCCGCGTAAGTACTGCATTCAATCGCGCAATTCAGACCACATACATGAGTACATTTGCTAAAATTATTGATGGTGTTCTAATTTGGGGATCTCGAAATAAACTTCAACAGAGCACGATGAATGACATAAATAAGATCCTAAACCACTTACCACACCATGGTCCTGGTCAAAATAATGTACGCCCGGGCATAGCGTGAATTAAACTCGGTGGGCTTACATAACAAATTTGTCACTCGATGAGTGACGCGTTACAAAGTGAAAAAAAAATACTCGTACCATAGATTTATGAAGTTTCTATCATAAATATTGGTATGTGCGTAATAATATAATGATATATCTGGCGATGCTGCTGGCAATGATTCAATATTCCAGTTATTAGGGTATACATTTAAGATTTGCACGTGACAATAACCTCGACAATATGCAACAAGACTGGCTACAATTTTGACCTGACAGATACACCCTCTCCAACCTATTACCGCAAGCTATAAATTGCATTTGAGTTTTTAAAAGGAAAATATGCATATTCATGAAACGGACACAGATAGCATTGATGTATTGTTGTGTAAACCAACTTATAGATGTAATGCATCTCTCTCCATACTGTTATATAATTACCGAACAATTATACGAGAAACGACTTCAATTTGCGATTATTTTGATATTGTTTTGTATTAATTTTAATAAGAAAAAATATTCAATGTAAAGAGTTTTTGATAAGCTAACAAAGGTTTATGTGAACTATAATATCAATTGCGATATTGTAAATTGGTTTTAAAAATTCAGTGAGTTTCCAATTCAGTGATAGTAGGTTACCATTTTAATGCAGATAACTTTGATTAATTTTGAAATGTGGGAGCAAATTACGTTGATGTTCTCCCACGTGCGTATTGGTATTTTTACAGAAGGTATGACGTTTGACACTTTTCTGTGTTTTTTTTCAGTTCCTGTCCAGACATGCCCACGTCATGTCGATGGAATTATTTTGGTAGTAGTGAACCCAACCCACAGATACTGTACGGGGCTCTTGCTGGTGGGCCAAATAAGGCTGGAGTTTACCAGGACTCTCGGTCATCTTATGAAACAAACGAGGTTGCCATAGATTACAATGCTGGCTTCCAGTCGGCCATTGCCGGTAAGACAAAATTCAATACTAGTATGGATGAATCATTTTAATGATACATAATATAAATTACTACTTTCCCTCTGGAATTGGCTGCAAAATTACTAAATTTACTAGCTGTCCTATATACTAAGAGATTTATTTATTATCGTTATATGCACTTTTGCTGTTGTTTTGCTGTTAGCCAGTGTTCAGCAAAACATGCCTGGCACCAAACGACGCCCTCCAGTGACAAAGTGATTCTGTGACGTAGTCTGGTGGCAGTAATGACGTCACAGTTTCCGTATTGCTTGAACTGTAATCCATCAACAGCAACTGTTTTACCCACCGAGATTTACCACATTCACTTTATTTTATTTACACATATATAATCTATTTTGAATATTTTCTATGCAACCAAACGAAGCACCGTCAGCTGGCGTGATAATAAAATTAAATGCGATTAATTTACCAATTTATACCATATGGGAGCAGCCATTTTGAATACGGCCATTTTTGAAACGAGTTTTTCATTTTTTTTCTACAAATCCGTGGAAAAGTAACGGACTTTCACAACCTAACGATCCGTTGGGATAAGATTAAGTAAACGGCTAACAAAATTCGACCTTTTCGAGTGTAAACCACTTACTTGCGAACAGCTAGAACCTAGAACACTTTCCCGGGGTATTTGAAACCGAAATCGTCTTCCAGCCCAGCAGCCAATCAGATACGACCTTGGATATTGAATGCTTTTTTGAAGTTGCAGTCTTTCATTTGATTTACACTGATTTATTTCAAAAAGTGATTGGCTGATTTGTCTGTTTGTTTACACTTGCAGGTATGTTAAATCTACAGGTTATCGGTGTTGACACTTCAACGTAACTCGCTGTGGACAAGAACTAAGGGAATGTGAACGCGCTAACGCGAAGACGCTGCCAAATAATTTTAACAAACATTTTAACATACCCGGATGTTCAATACTGAAAAAGTACTCAGAACTACTCAAGAAAAGAAACAAGTTCAATGTACTGTTGTTCCTGAAATTTCCAAGAACCGGGCATTGTGGTTTCCACAAGGATAAGAGCGAAAAGTTGACTGAAACTGGACATAGTACGTCTAGGAGAAGTATTTTTACATTACATTCTCGCACAAACGTAGATAAAAGGCTTTGAATAATAAGCCTGAATGTATTCCTGGACCAATTATTCGTGACTTTAACATTGGTCGCACATTTATCAGCATTCCATGAGAGTCTTGCGTGGTCACAGTGTATTCTGGGTAACCGGATGCACATCTCGTCCACTATAATACTATTATTGTGCCAACAAGTAATCCAGTACGGCTCATTTTTTTCGTGGTTTCTCAATACTTCTTGATCAGTTTTAAATAGTTATTGTTGCATGCAATACTAATATAACACTAATGTTCAACCAATATTGCCGATGCAATACATGGCCGGTATATAAATTGTCACACATAGTAGCACGAGCTGAAGTGGTCTAGAACGATGTAATATATTAGTCTAGTCGTAGAGGGCGTAGTGCCTCAACTTAATAGTACGTGTGGCGTATTCTATGTGCTGGGCCAGCTTTCGTGCACAAGTACTGCTTCGTGAAATCGTGAATTATTCATTTGCAGCTTTTGCTAATAACATTGCTCATGCGATATATTCAAATTCCACGTCACGTGACACCCCATTTACAGTTTATGCACGCGCCAACCGTGTACTGATTGTGTCGCAAAAATGCGTCTGTCGCATAATAATCAGGTCATGATCGATGGGATGCCATTTGATTACGCCATAGTTGTGATTCTTTTCATGTTATTCGTGTTCCGCGTGACTCATGACGTCATCTTGTATGCGTAATTTGTGTAAATGTAAATATGTAAATATCAATCTTATAATCTATTGTATTTTAAAATGTACAAATAAATGTTTCATGTATATGTTATATTGTCTTAAAGTCGACATACATTTGTTTTAAAATCAACAAATTTTATCATAAACTGTGCCTTCTATACATGTTTTAATTGTTATCGTTTACGTGTGTATGATTTATTTTGCCAACATATGTTGATAGTCTGGCAATTGACATATTTTACGATTTCTCTCCCATTTGTGGAATCAGTGTTACTGATTCCATAGCTGAATAGTTTTACAGGCTACGTTAGTATGGATATCAGGGATTTGCGAACCTCATAGTTTCTCACGACATGAAATGTTGTTTCTCGCTTGTTATCTATGTTAACTTCCTCGTCGGTTGGGTTGAAAAATGTAATTCCCCCGTTGACGGCGCTTTTTTATAAAGTGTAACCCAGAGTTGCTTTGGAACCAGAATTGTAATTGCATATTACAGAATATAACATGGTTAGAGTATGTACAAATCTCTTGCTATATGAGCAGTCGCTGGGTTGGTGTGGCTTGTTAGCTCGTGTATATATCTGGTAGCGTCGCTTATGCGTGGACTTCTAATACGAACACAACAGATAGATCCGTGTGATTGAATACAATCATGAATATGTACTTGACCAATCATGACGCAGCACAGCTACATGGATGTCACATGACAAGCTAGATGTAATATAGCTACATGATTACCCTCGAGTGATTTTGAACATCTGGTAGAGACTCATAAAAAGGCATATTAAATTGTGCAATTAACTACATTCTGACTAAAACTGTAGGTTTACCTCAGAAAACTCGTTATGGTCATTATACTCGTGTTATACACTGATATCTGCGATATGTGTTCAAGTTGAGTGGTTAGGTTCATTTGTTTCACCCGTTAACCACGTGATACTTGTTAGTTGTGTGTTTTACTGAGTTAACTGCATATTTAACAAGGCTAGTTATCCACACGTTTAACTAGTTAACCACGTGTTGTACTAGTTAGTTGTGTGTTTTACTGAGTTAACTGCATATTTAACAAGGCTAGTTATCCACACGTTTAACTAGTTAACCACGTGTTGTACTAGTTAGCCGTGCGTTTACTAGTTGTCCTTATTAACTACGCGTTTTACTAGTTAGATGCAAAGTTTTACCAATAAGCCGCATTTTTTATTAATTAATCACGTGTTTTACTAATTGGCGACACGTTTTACTGAGTAGCAGCATGATATTTTACTCGTTATCCACGTGCTTTCTAGTTATATTAGTCACATGTTTCACCAGTAAGCCGAGTCTATCCATAAGTTTCAATATAAATAAAACAAGAACAAGTTGCTAAACTAGTTTCTATGAAAATTACATTTTCAATGCAAAGTCCCGACTATTTAAAATGAAAATTTAAGATGTTTATTAGCGCCAACGTGGAGTGTACACACGACAAATTTCATTCACATCTGACAACGTGCTAGATCAAGAATCGACTTCTACTACAGATTAGCACATATCCAACGTTCATCCCCTGTCAGTGCAATGTTTCAAGGATATGGGAAATGCACCCGTTGCCATGGTAACGAATGTGAATGACAGTTGTTTTTCTCCAACCGTACTCGATAATACAGCGAAATACGTAAAAATCTATGGATTAGTCATTTAATTCTGGCGAAGGTCAAATTACTGACAACAAACCATTCTGATAACTGTATAATTCACTGTATGTAAGTAACCAATACAGACATTAACCCGGTTCCGATAAACTAACCAGAATATGTCGCGCTCCCGCCAGATTTAATTACTCAGTTTTGCTTTACGTATAGAGTGTCTTCAAAGCAGGTCAGACAGGCCAGTATTTCATTGCAACTAAGAAACACTTTAATATCAGCTAGTTGTGCATTTATGTGATGGGTTATAAAACGTGTATCGGTAATGTCTGTTCAGACATACCCGGTGGACATAATCCCGAAACTAACATTGATTTTTTTATAAAAATGTAATATTGATATTTGTGTATACTTATTATTCAATATTTATACGGCGTATATTTCGTGAAAGGATTCGTGTTTTTTATACTATTTTTCCGGTGGACATATTCCCGAAACTAACATTGATTTTCTTTAAAAAATCTGATATTGATATTTGTGTATACTTATCATTCAATATTTATACGGCGTATATTTTGTGAAAGGATTCGTGTTTTCATACTATTTTATATACTTGTGTGTTTTAATGTCATGTTTCATGCCTCGTTGGATAATGGCCTTGACATTTTTATTAAATCAGCAAGAACACAAATGATAAGATTTGCCATCGTTGATGTCGGGATTCTCTCCTGTGTAATATGCCATAAAAACAGTTTTGACATTCATTATAAATTTATAAATATATAACAAAATGTCTATTTTTCCCTTGTGAAATAGATTAGTGTTTCCAGAATGTTTTTTTGTTTTCCTTTATCAAATGTGTGCGAGACTTGCCAGACACTGTCCCAGTGTAATTGCGTAGATTTTTTTTTCATCCAGCACCCAGCCCATAGTTCGCCGTCACCGTGCACCAACCAGTCGCTGTCATCCCGCACTTCACCCATCGTTCGTCACCCCGCACCCTAATCCATCGTTCGTCACCCCCAAACTCAACCCATCGCTCGTCATCCCACACCCTACCCATTGTTAGTCATGTCGCACCCTACCCTTCGCTCATCATTACGCACCCACTCATCGTTCGTCATTACACGCCCCGCCCATCGTTCGTCATCACGCGTCCTACCCATCGTTCGTCATGCCGTACTCCACCAGTTGTTCGTCATCTGACACCCCGCCCATTGTTCGTCATTCCGCACCCATCCATCGCTATCCTCCCACTACCCACCCATCGCCGCGGCTCGTCATCCCGCACCCTACCCATCATTTGTCATCCCATTCCCGTCCATCATTCATCATCACTCCCCCATCGTTCGTCATCCCGTGCTCTACCGATCCTTTGTTATCCCTTGCCCTTTCTATCGTTAGTCTTCCAGCACCCAACCTATCGTTCGTCATGCCGCACCCTACCCATCGTTCGTCATCCCACACCCTACCCATCGTTCGTCATCCCGCACCCTACCCATCGTTTGCCACCCTACCCATCGTTCGTCATCCCGCACCATAATCCGTCATTCGTCATCCCGGCACCCTACCCATCGTTTGGCACCCCATCCATCATTCCGCACCCCACCCATCGTTCGTCATCACACACCCCCAACCATGCACCCCACCTCGTCTTCACGCAAACTACCCATCGTTCGTCATCCCATCCCCATCCATCGTTCGGCATCCCGCCCCCACCCATCATTCGTCATCCCACACATCGTTCGACGATTTACGTTTTATTACAGAAAATTCTGAAGCACATGTGCGCTAGTATTTTCACAATTGCTTCGAACAGTTATTGCCATGTGTACTGCCAACACGTTTTTATTTTACAATAAATCACACCTCATTGTTTTTGGCGAGATTTATTTTCAAAACAAAATCATTTAAACAGGCGCAGGCTACTACCCACTTTACCGTTTTAAATAAGGAGAAATTGTAATAAATGGAATTGTTCATGTAGTACCATGGCCGACTCTGACAGGATGCCTGTCCCCTGAATAACAAAGTATTGAATAAGCTGTGGTACACAGAACATATTTATAACAACACATTCATGCAGTTTTTCCACATAAGTGTAAGAAGAATCCAGCAAACATATCAAAATAATATAAACTCCCAAAAAGGGTGTTTTTATTCAAGATCGCCACGTCATTACGGGAGTCTCGCGGTCGTTATATACTAGTAGTCATTGTTAAGGTAGAATCAGACAAAAACTTGCATACTGTACTGTGGCAAGTGATGACTAATGCTCAGCCGAGACACAGAGTATATGTGATCGGAGTTTATAATCGCCATAGCCAGATATATGCTAGTGTCACGTGCACATGAATGTTCACTGCGCGAGTCGATATGTACGACAACGAGGCTCCCATAAAAACATTGTACAATCTAATCTACTTATACATATTAATTACAATTAAATTCACATAAACGATCTGAAAAATAAGCACGATATAAATTATAGTAAATGACATGTAAATTACGATATTATAAAAATAATGAATAATACAAAAATGTCAAGTCTCCTCACTTATAAGAATTATATGTAATCGTGTAAAGTAAAGTAATGGGTATTCAGACAAACAACTACGTTTAAACTCTCAAAACCACGAGTCACGATTCATGACATCTCTGTAATAAACAAATATCTAAGGTTGTAAAAGCATTTTACAGTTCAGTTCCTCATGCGATTTAAGACCGCTGTAAAATAACAACAGCTTTAAGCTAGGGTGTGGCTATTATATTTGACTTAAGCCATTTTCACTGTAAGTTGGGGAATACCAGGGATTACAATTTTGGGAACATATATCGATCAGTGGGTAAAATTTAATTTTCTCGGGAAGATTTAGGGTGGGTCACGCCTAATTTCTTTCGTGTATTCATTTGTATGCATAGTTTGTATACGGGGCTTCAGTTACACTTTTCCAGAAGAAATAATTGCTCAGCCCTTGAAACTGTCATGTTTGATATTTTGTATGGCAAAAATGTAATAAAATGACGTCAATAGGCACGTTTCCATGGAAACCAATATTCTGTAATCGTATACACTGTGATGCGACAGTAAAATATGCAGGTGGTAAATAGCCTTCCGATATCTTGAAAAACAGTGATACGGCGTCATTATGTTCTGAATATTATTTCCCAAATGACGTGAACCACAGATGTGACGTTTATTACAAATATTCAGGGGATGTTAAATCTAAATGGAATTTACCAAGTTTCTAACTTAAACTCTGAACGATGCAATGATCAATTTACATGCAGATGATTCATAGGCCCCAGGTGAAGGATCACACAATTTGCATATCCCTCACATGATGTTTGAAACAAATCACGTGATTATGAATAGCAAATCGCTGTCATTTTCTACTGTCGTTTAAAAGGCGGTGGTCGTCGCGCTGCGCATGTGCTACATTTGTGTTGATAAACATTGATTTTCCCACAATGCAATACGCTCTTCTAATTTACATTATTGATACTTCCTGTCACCTGAAAGAATGGTTAATTACAGTTTGGAAACGTCTCAGTGTGTAGTCGTTGATCCGCGCAACAGCTAAAGTCGCCGTCTTTGTTTATATGAGACTCATATATCTCGCGCATGCGTAGCGCGACGACTACTGCCCTTTAAGATGATACGACTGGAACGTAAGCACACGTAAAAACAATGTAATCGTGTAAAATTCGGTAAATGGTAAAATATACAAAGAGTATCAGGCTTATGTAAAATCACTAAATATACATTCATCATTTCACGCCCACTGCTTGTTGAAATTACAGAGATATATAGATTAATGGCATAATATGTGCGCATTTGGGCAAAATTTACGTTGCGAAAAATGAAACAAAAGTGCAACTTAACATTTACCGTTCGGCTGTGTACGACAACGTAAACCTGCATAGTTTATTCGCGTTTTCTCCTAAATATATGAAAAGTTCTCTAAATTATGTCAAAGTGACTTAAAATACAGAAGAATATAATACAATATAAACGTACGAAAATGACGCTTCCACAAATAAAGTGAAGTGAAAAAAACTAACTTTAAGTATTTTTATACATGTATAAATTAATAACAAAAGTACGAAAATGTAACAAAATTTCTGATATGCATATTTAGTAACAAAACAGCAACATTTTGTTTTTTTTAACAAAATTATTATAATGTAATATATATTTGATATTGAATACAAATAACGCGTATGTAAAAATGCCATATTTGGGCATAAAGAATTTAATTAATAATATGTACGCAGGCATATACACTTCCTAAAATAGAAAAACACGGTGCGTGTTGCACATATTTGACTTTATTCACGAATGGCCAACAAAATTACGTTTGGAGAATTAGACCTGGGCGGCTCCTTTTTCTAAACCCCTCCCCCTTAATATCTACCTTCAATGCGTCCCCAGTTCCACTGAGGTATCTGTCAAATCACAAATTCAACTAGCATAATGTTTTTTTTAAATATAATTTTCAATTATTTTAACTGTAGCTAATAAGATATTATGTCCTGATTTAGATATATTGAAAATTAACTTTTGAAAAATGTAGTTTTCCTAAAAAATATTACTAGTATATTACGGCACAGTTCAAAGGGGTAAATTAAAGTTGCCAATCAAATCATTAAAAATAGATTGATCAAGGTGGGATTTGTGATGAGTGTGCTATTTTAATTTCATCGTTTTTAAATGCAAGGGTTGTTACTAAAGTTATGCTGAATATTCATGATACAATTTCAATGAATATTGTAATTTATGTATTAGTGTGTGTCTATTATGCAATTATTCGGCCAATGGTTGAACAGCGCAGTAATCGTCTGCTGATTACGTCAGAAACAATTCTGTTGTTTGGTAAAACAAAACGAAACTTATAATTACTAAGTGTTAATACCCTATTCAGTCAATCAATTAAATAATCTGTTATATATTTTATAAATCATTCAAAAGAAAATACCATTAAATATATTTTCGAGTTAATATTTGGCGACGTCAAAAACTGAATGTTTATGTTTGATGGGATGTTTATATTATCTGTCATATCAGTCTTTGTAAAGATATATTTAGACATTTTCAAATCCCGTTTCACCTCCGAGTTATCCCAAAGCGCCTAAGTACACTTGTCATATAGTAAGTCGCACCCGCCCACGATAGAGTGCTTCTGTGACGTAGAAGATCGGTGGAAATGGCGTTTACGGAATCGATATCGTTTTCTTTTTCTTTCTGAGTTTCCCGCCAATAACAACTGCGTGTTTTGAGATATTTTTTCTACTGTGACCAACGGCTACACGTCCACTAACATAATTCTTGATTTGCGGTGATAAATATTTTCATTTGTTTTGTATTTCATAAATGTCCCATGCTGTTTGCCTTTATAATGCCGGTTGTAGAACTGAATGAAATTGAAATTAACTCCCGGTATTCGTATTCTCATGGTGTACTCCGACGAAGATAAGCTTTGGATACGATGCATGTGCGACAGTCAGCAAGATTGGGTGACATGTGCACAATAGAACAAATTAAATAACATCTCACATATTCAAATTCTGTTATAATTGTTATAGAGACGAATCAAATGCCTTTTTCTTATGGGGCTTGATTTCACGTGTTCATATTATACATAAATTAGTTGAGGGTTTCAGTGTCAATGAATTTACGGATGAATTTTGGTATGAGAGAGCACCGGCACGTACGCGTGCGCGTCGAGAACGATCCGAGTCTAGAACGAGCCTACACGAAGATGATAACGTACTATCGAATACCCCACGCACCAAAACCTTTTTCGATCGAGCTAAGAATTTATTTAAAAGCTGTCTGCTTTATTTGCGCATACAGTATCACATTGGAGTGGCCGTTTCTTCTCAGCAACAGGGAAGGTAGCAAGTTTTTAATAAATGTATTTAATTTGTGCAGCCGAACGTGCAATATATTTTTCCCATACAGTACCTGTTCAACATTTAGTCTCACAGCGTGTGCATCCTAGGCACTAATATAGGCGTAATCTTGCAGAACGTATATCATAGCATAGTCCCTCTATGATAGAGGGACCGCGCTCATATAGGTACTCCGTTGAAGTAGCTCGATGACAATGTACCTTTTAAACGTTCTAAACGAGCTCCACGTCACTTTCTTCAAACGAGGCAAACATCCTGTTTTCAAACGCAATCGTTTCTTCTTCTTCATCGTAATCTGCATCTCTTTTCTTGCAAAACCAGTGTGCGAATGAGGCGGCGCCGACTGTCACGATAAAACACGCGGCGAACGCTATCATGCCAACTTCCGTGTCTGACAATCCCGTCCTCTCCATGTGTCGTACTTTTGGTTCGACCCCCGCGGTCGTATGGTTGGCTGTCGGTGAAGGCGGGTTGGTCACCATAGTAACGCGACTGATTGTCGACTGTGCCGGGATGACACTTGTTAATTGTGGACGAGACGTCATCGGACGCATCGTTGGTGGCGTGACAACAAGGCTCACCGTACGGGAGGAGTTTCCCAAAATATTCCAAACAAAACACGTGTAGTTACCGGCATCGGTGACTGCAACTGCATGGACAATCAGAGATAGAGACACCATTGAATATTTACCATCTATCGCACCAGTGCTGATCATTTCCGGGGAAATCACGCTTCCATTAGGGGTATGCCAAACTACGAGCGGTGCTGGTGTCCCATCGGATTCGCATTTTATAGTTTGGTTCGTACCTACAGTCGCCGTAATTGTAGTATTCGTGTCGTTTCTCACTTTGGGCGCCGCACAGACTATTTTTTCGGTCAATTTGTTGAGATTGACATCGATTAATTCAGAAGGCGTTTGACATTTTGGATACGAATCATAGATGTGATTTGTGTACCACTCAGCCAACCAGAAAAGATTACAATCACAATGCCAAGGATTATGATCTAAATTCACGATGGCGTCATTTGGTGCATCTGCGAATACGTTATCGGGCAGACTACTTAAAGCATTAAATGTCAGATCGATGAAGGTTAGATCTGAAAATCCACGAAATGCGTTAGCATCGATAGTCTCCATGTTGTTATTGTTCAAGTACAGTCGCTGAAGCTTGCTACCAGAACCGAAACCGTCTTTAGGAATGTGTGTTATGTTGTTATATCCCAAATACAGCTGGGTCAAGTTATCAAAATTCGATAGAATGTCCCCTGGAATATTTTCCAGTTGATTTTCATTCAAGTTCAAAATGTTTAAACCTCTCAATTCACTGTACACGTCAACATCAAGTTGCACAATCTTGTTCGACTGTATATCCAAGCGCTTGAGCTGACGCAACATTCTAACGCTTGAGGGCGTACTTGACAATTCATTTGAGGACAGATCAAGTGACCTCAGCGTATCAGCGATTCCGTCAAATATATGATCAGTTAAGTTTTTGACAGCTACTACATTTTTAAGGCTTAAATCTTCCAGGTGGCTGAAGTTGTAAAATTGCCCGTTCTCCAGGGACAAAATCGGATTACCGTCCAAAAAGAGAGATTTAAGAGGAGTCGAAACAAAAAGCTCAGATGAAGGCATCTCCGTGAATAAATTGCTAGACACTTTAAGCGACTTAAGCGATTGTAGTCCGTCGAGGGACCCCTTTGGAAACTGTGTCAATTGGTTGTCACATAGATCTAGCATTCGGAGGTTTATCAGACCCGAGAACGTCCCGTTGCTTATAGTTGTCAGGCCGCAATTGCCAAGTGTCAATTCCTCAAGACTTATAAGATCAACGAAAACATTGTACTCAGATAAAAACAAACCATTGTTGTTGTTGTTTACGATCACCAGCTTCACTAAGCTGAGTAATCCGGTGAACGTGTCGCCGTCAACAAGCATCGTGGTGTTGTCCAATTTAAGAGAAGTCAAAGAGGTGAAATTAGAAAACGTACCATTCACTAAACTCGTGTTCCCTACCAGCGTCAGTGATTCCGTTTCTTTTGGTATATCCGTCGAGACAGAGATCGGCCCAGCGTTGGTGCAAACCACTGTAGTTTCATCGCACGTACACGACGGATGACAACCGACAACCTGTGTGAGCCACAAAGCCAGCGAAAATAACACCAAGAAAACGTATTTGGCGTACATGTTCATCTTGCCCTCGTCATGTATACCCAGGATGCTTGCGGAACCAACTAAGACGGTTGTGAGTCAACAAAATTTCCGATTTTGACGACGTTTACAATATGGCTTCCCGTTTAGTCTGTTAAGTATGACAACACAACGTCTCACCTGAATGCGCTTTCACTTCAGAATAATGCAAAGCTAGTCGGCAAAAATAACTTCAACACCAGTAAGCCAACAATCATATGAGCCACCAACAAAATTCAAATTTTTCATATCACATGACATTGCCTGCTAAATATGCTTATGTGATTGGTTATTATAAATATAGCTATTAAATTAGTTATATTTAAATTTCAGTGTATTTTTGTGGCTTTTAATCAAACATTTTAACGAGTTTAGTGTTCACATTCTTGAGAATGCTGCTTTTATTGCCCAACAGCTACCACGGCATACTATGTACCTGCCGTAAAAATCACGTGATCAAAGACCTTCAACAATGGTGACTCTTTTATCATATTGAACGACCGCATGACCTCGCTTGTAGAATAAGGAGACACGTTTTCAAAAGTCGGCGGTTCATATATTGAATATCAGATATTTTCTGTTTGCGTCGCTCAAAAATCCGAAAAAACGTCGTCTTGTCTGTGCGACCATAAACATAAGCCGTATAACGCATCAGCGCACGAAATGGTGTGCTGCCACAGGGTAGCAATTTAATATGACTCAAATGTAATAAACCGTGAAAAACAGAACACGGTCACGCAGTAATCAAGACACGATAACGTAAATTATTAAAATAGTTTAATTATTTAGTTCATCCATTTCAGACAAGTCAGTTCAATTCCTGTTATAAGACTGCGACAGAAAACAAAAAAAAATAGAAATAAAAAAATCTAATTTTTGTAGTAGCTATTCCGAATATGCGCGTCTATCGTCAACATTTTCTGCGGGCGTTTTCAGAATTCAATATAAATACAGAAACTAACTCATTGTCAAAACAGATTCAGACTGATTGCTTGAGCAGCGTCCTCGGCAGACGACATGCATTTTGAAAGCTACTATGCCCCGGAGAGTCAAATGCAAATACGGATTGGTGCCATGGGCTGCAGTTCTTTTTTTTAAATATCTTCTGAGAGCACATTGATTAACCTACCGTTGCTATGGCAATGTATTTTTTCCGCGTTGCCGGAAACGTTTCTTAGTGTATGTCACAAGTCCTGATATGTAGCGAAACGTAAATCATTTCACCGACATAGTTTTCCCGCCAAAATGTCATATGCACATTTCCAGAAAAAGTCGCACGATGATAAAATACGCATATTTTGGCATGGCTCACAGATGTTGGTCGAGTATTTTAAAATTTCGACATCAACATTCAAAGAAATTAACTAAGCATAACGTAAATATCTTAATCACACTGCTTACTGTCGTGACGTTACTACGCACGCGTACATGATTGGATGACGTATTCGTTCTCTGATTCTGTGCTGATTCGTTCAATAAATTCGTCGATTACTATTTTTAATAAGTTATTACGACAATACACACAGGTATATGCAAATCCCCTTCCCCTTCACCTCTGTCCCGCAAGAAAACGAAACATCTGTATACGAAACAGATGGTTGCCTGGCTCTATTGGGATCGACTATATCACAGTTACAGAAGCGATACATTTGATTATTCACGGTCCGTAGCGCTGTATGCGTCAGAGGTCTTACATGACGAGATGTTGTTCTCATTGTTAATAACCGAGCGATTTCAAATACAAAGAAACTTATATAACTACAACGAACTAGTCGTATAACAATATTAATATATATGTATATGTAAAATTAATAAAAAAAACATTACATTGCTAATTATATCAGACTCTATAAGCTATGTGTTTTGGTGAATATACATGCGTACTAAATATAGATGTGTTAATCTTTGAATAGACGTACCGGCTCACGACTACAATAAATATAGGTGCACCTTACTGCCATTTACGCCGTGTGTCAGAACGTGGAGCTGACTTCTTTGCTGTACAGTTTTTTTTTTAAATCTATTCAGTCGCCCAACTTAAGGGGTCAGGAACTGCGTTTATTAAAATTCTGTTTGTATTTTTTTTAAATTTAATAGTAAGCCAAAATGGAATTCGTGGTACCAAATGCGAACCAGAGTAAAGGTCGGGCAATATAAATCGGCTAAAACAAATAATCTAAGGTTATGTTTAAGATTTAACATCATCAGTTACAGTTATACTGGTGCATGTATACCTTCAGATACACATACTTGGCAAAGGGCCCTAATAACCTAAATACGCACATTATGGAGTTGCCATGGTGATATGCTCAGTATCCAACCGAGTGTGCGGCATATTATACACCTGTCTCACCTGTGAATGCGTCTGTCTAATTGAATATATATTCACAGATTCCATATAAATCAGTACTGTGGTTGTTCGACTATAAAAAAGATATGTTATATTCAGCGACTACACAATCAAACACGGTCGTCTCTTTGAATAACATAGATTTCATTAATGCTGTTGTGCATTTCATTTCAGCCTCTTAAGTACACGTACTTATTTAAGAGAGGACGGAGACAAAAATAACACATATGTGAAAATTACAAACACATACAGTAAAATACACACATTCAAAATGCACAAATTCATACAATAAAATGCATTGATAAAAATACTAAGATTGAAAAATGTATAAGATGTAATACACTTTGAAAAATATATGACTAAATAAGAAACAGAATTTTGATAACTTGTGGTTAAACACTGGATGTCTTGAGCACTCTTCAAGTTGAATAGGAAGCTTACGAGTTCACGATTCAAGTACGCTCCGGTATACTTGAAAACTATACTGCATATATTTTGTGTTAGGTTTGACAGAACACATATTACGAGAGATCCTTGTATTATAATTGTGAGTATGATTACTGGTTACAAAAATTGATGTTATAGTCTATGCATGGCTGTCCACGTGATACTTGCTTGATGTAATTGCATTTTATTTGGGAAATGAGAAACAAATTCAGTTGGTTGAACATTGCATTTGTTGGCGTTCCCTGCTTGTCGCCAAGAATAATGTGTACTGCCCGGGTTATGTGTCGAGTTTTAATGTTTCCGAGTTGTTTATTAACAAGATTAGAGCGTGTTAAAGCTATTGTATATATTCAAGAAACGTAGTTTATGTTTTTTCTCATTGCAATGTATTCCGATTTTTGACTAGACCTTCGGTACACAGGCGGTCACCATGATAGCCCCAATGCAACGACTCGTCCGTTATGACACCCGGATATTTCCCGCTGTCCAACCGTAATCTACACAAACTGTTACGCCACCGTGACTGAAGTGTGTCGTCCGTCCATGGGATAAAAATTGTTGTAGAATAGTATCTATAGATTCCGTTAATTCCTCCCTAAACACGGCGGCCATTTATAAAAATGACGTAATACCGCCAACAAATCCGATAGAGTGGGACGTGCATCACGTTTAACCGCGGATTGGATGGGATTTTTCTCTGCTATTACCTTGTTGGCCACAGTGACGGCATGAGGTCTAGGTGATTTTATTCACCTGTCTAAGGCCAAACGATTTTATGTTATTTTTAGCTTCTCCGATATGTCTGGAGCTGAGATCAGAAAGGCTTTATGTGCAGCAGCCTTTTTAAGAGACGTTTAATTAATTACATTAATATTCATTTTGGGTCAATTTTATACTAGACATTCATTATGTAATTCAAGGGTATTAGCTTGCATAGAGATGCCAGGTCATGGTATAGTATCATAAATGTTAAGATTAAAGCGCGGTGGTCGTCGCGCAGCGCGTGTCCGAATTTCATGTAAATAAACAATGTATTTTACACGCGTTGTATACGTCGCTATGAGTCCCATATCGAACAGGACGCGGCACGACGACTGTCACCCTTTAATTCATATATGTTATGAAAATGTGTTTTCAGATTTTCCTAGTGAACTTTAAGGTAACCACGTGGTCGGGTAAGATCATATCATAAATTCCCCTTTCTTCGAATATATGAGTCTTTGGCCCACTTGACCTCAAGGGCTAAATGAGGAAAAACTAATGCACATTTTTCATAACATAAATACATTAGTTTTAACATTCGTGCTAGTTTTTTATCATGATCAGGCAGTTCTATAAATTACATAAACAAATCATCCCAGTTATAAAATGGTTCATATTGAATAAAAATATCGGCTACTAAAAATGTTTGTCCAGGCTTCAGCACATGAGACGTGCTGATATCAACTCGAGACATATCAGGAAAGCTAAAAAAAAAAAGCATCAAATCTTTGGACCTCAGACGGTTAAATAAAACTAGCTCTTGTTCTCCCACATAAACCACATTAAACCATCTGTTTAAAATTTGCATTTCCATCGAAAGTTTTCATTTCGTACACGGCAAACAAAATTCTCAGTCCCTCAAATAGAACATTTTTAAATATTTACAAAATATGCAATCTTAAATCTGCTGTTATTGGTAACATCTCACAGTGAAAGTAGAGCCTAATTAGGTAAACGGAGCATGATATAACCACTCGATCCGAAAGGGCAAATAATTATAGTACTCTTAAGCATGTTTACTATTTCTTTTGGTTTTAATGACTTTTGTCAACCGGTCTTTCATACATGTTGATAAGTTGGTTATATATACTATATTTATTTATAAGTCTAAAATTCTACTGATTCATGCCATGATATATTGTCAGTTAAAGCACAATACACACCTCTACTTATGTGATGGCTGTCTGACTCTTCCCAGCAAAACAATATGCTTTTCGTTTTGAGAAACACCATATGTGTCAATCGCAGATGTTCAAAAGTCATGTGATTGATGTATTCGATTTACTGTATTGATGATGTTATAAATGCTAACGGCCATGTGATCGACTCGTACTGTGAAACTTCTTTCTCAGAACGTTGATCTCTTTTTATCTGTTCGTACAATAATGATTAGCTACGCTTTTCCACGAACTGTCACACTGAGTTTCTGCCGGGAGTGAGGAAT